TAAAAACGGCAACATTTTGTGGCGAAATCAATTTAACTGCAAGTAAATCTGGACTAAACCTTGACGTGCAAAAGGAGGTCATTGTTGCCTTCTGTGTGATCATGGACTTGTATTGAACCCTCCTTTGCTGAAGTATAAACTGCTCCACAAAACAGTCATGAGGTAGCCGTCAATGGCATGAATAGGTCTTCTGAATAAACAGTGAATGCATTGTTCCTTTAGCGACTGAGCTAACACGCTATGCTAAGCACCGTAGTGTATTTAGCAAAGATTACTCAGGACGGAATAGTGCATTTGTTTGGATCTATTTTCAGCTGTGGATGAATACACATTGGGTGCATTGGTGAGAATATTTCCAGCAGCAAGACAGCGCATGTTGGAATGACTCCAAATAAAAAATATCCATGTGAAAAAATCTGATTGTCAGATATTGTGCATGTAATAAAGGATAGAGTCGACCAGTGCAACATTGTGGCTCACTGATGTGTTTCGAATAGCTGTTGGACCACAGTGGAGCTCTATGGCACAGAGGAAGAGGATACATCAGGCTTTCAGACACACACACTACTTGTTAGTGGCTTCTTTTATTACTCCATCTAAAACAGGCCTCTAATGCTTTCTCAAGTCTCTAGAATTACAGTTCAAAACACCCACCTGGTTCACTCGAACCAATCAATCAGTTAACCCAAAACTGGAGCCACCCGCATGTCAGCGTGGTGTTCCAAATTATCACAATTAGCTGCACCTGAGGAAGCACTTGTACTTCACTATGACAGTTAATCAATGTGCTGCACGTTAAACTCAAAACAATCTCTAAAAGATGAAGAATTACCTGGTGATGGCTACTGTACCTTTTCCCTGCTGTGTGTGTGTGTGTGTGTGTGCGTGTGCGAGGGTGGTAGGGTGCGTGGGAGTGGGAGTCAGGAGGGCCAGTTGCTATGGCGATGAAGTGTTGGTACTTCAGCTGCAGAACGGTAACATCCTCCCTGGAGGACAGTGGCTTCTTCGAGGCTTGTAATTGGGCAACGCCTTCGCTGAGGAGCGCCAAAACAGACAGCAACACGTGACCCATGAAGAGGTTGAGGCCGAATTCTGTTGTTGGTTGTTGTCAGGGAGGCACACGGCCTGTATGTGTGCAGTGCAGTCCGGTCCGCACGAAGCAAATAAACATGGAGGCTCGCAGTACAGTAAACAGTACAGAGAGGGTTGCTCGCACGGAGGATCGGTGTACAGTAAGCAGGGAAGGTCTGAAGTCAGCGGATAAGAGTGAGCTGGTCCCACTGATCTAGTGAGTCCTGGTCTCATTACGTTTGAATAGAATATATCCAGAACAAACAGAAAGCAGTAAAGATGCTGTCCCTCATGAATTATTCACTCTCTGTTCAGCCCACCTGCAATGATCACGTCTCCACACCCTTTGGCCAAACGGTGCACTTCCAAAAAATGGGCCATCATGAATGTGAAAATCGGATTGTCTGATATTCTGCCGAACAATAGAGCAGTAACACATTATTATTCCCCGAAATGTGATCAGAGGTGTCTGTGAAATGTTGAATATGAAACAGAAGGCCTGGGCTGCGGTCGAGTCCAAGAAGAAAAAAAGACGTCCGATGACTTTTACTCCCACTTTTCCTCGATGGAAAAAGGTAACGAGGCCGAGGAAGGATGTGAGGGAGAATTCAGAGGGACTTTGGTAAGACACCCACGGTGCTCAGAGAGTCTGCCTGCACTCAAGCAAGGCTACATTATGATGTGACGGCGGATGTTTCTGATGTGGGCCTGCCCTGGTGCCGCCGCAAGGAATTGTGGGACGGCGTTAACTCCTTTCCTTTCTTAAAGAATGGTCAAGTGTATGCTGTGCTTAAGGAGTTAACAAAGGAAGCATTAGAGGATTGGACCAGCTCTTAGTATGGCTGCCACTTCTCTCCGGGTCATCTCACTCAGTTAGGAAGCTTCCCAAGCAAGAAGGACTATTTGACCGCAGCCCTCTGCCTGCTCTGAAGAGACATGACAAAGATGAGAGCAGATGAGGGGTATAAATGTATGCATGTCATACGAGTGTGGATATTCTTTGCTAATAATCACTCATCATGACGTGTGCTGCCTCAATCTGTGATGGATTTCCTCCGGCCGAGTCATCTGTAGCAGGATTGTGCTCCCTATTGATTTCCCTCCAGCTGACACATCAATAATCTCCGTGCAAAACCACTTTGACCTCCTGTCCTATCATCATATTCACATGTTTAATAGCTACTGTACATGACAGACTGTCCGGGCTGCTCTAGCTGATAGATGCATTCCCTGGTTGGATCAGTGTCTATATGCTTTATGGAGATCATATCCCACCAGATGCATTATGTTTGATTCAAAGATACAGCTTAGAAGTTTAAATGACAAAAAGGAAAACCTGTTCATCTGACCTGGAAACAAATAAATTCTTAGTTTAAGGTGATTACACACTAATGAAAACATAGATATGAATATTATATTACATTTCTGCCATTAAATCCTACGCATTGGACCTTCACATTTTTTGAAGAATCACAGCATACAATGATTTCATAAACTGTATGTACATTGGCTGAACATAGAATTGAGCAAAATGATCAGTTGCTTGTGGAGACAAACGAGACAGAGAACCCAAGTGGAACAGAGTGCAGGAGGAGAACACCTTTCCTCTTATGGTACCGACTGATCGACCATTTTACAAATGAAGTCCCGGAGCTGCTTCATCAAACTGCCACGGAGTTCCCACAGAATGTGAGGGGGAAAGGTCTCGGTGTAACGTGCGTTGACAACAGATGCCCATTGTTTGCTCCTTAATCATCTCGAGGCTGAGCGTCAAGTATCCGTAGTAAATGACCCTAAAAGCAGTCCCATCCTGGGATAAGCACCGCCTTCGCCACGCTCACGCTGCCGTGAATGTGGCTTTTTTTTATCCCCTCGCCGTGTTCCGCATGAGATGCTTTCGATCACACACTGATAGCTGAACAAACAGGATAAGCTTCCTCCTGAATGCATGTGCGGCGCAGGGCTCTGCCTTCCACAAACTCTTGGTTTACTCAGCTCTGGACAACATGAGAGGAGTGCTCAGGTTCCAGTGATCGGTGGTCGAGTGGTTACGGCACATGCCGTGAGACCGCAACGTCCGGGGTTCGATAACGGCCTTTTTTGCATGACATACCCCCCCGCTCTCTACCTCTGGACTGTCGCGTCTAATGAAGGTGAAAAATGCCCCAACAAATGACATAAAATGAAAAGGCAGGGGGGGGGGGTCAAAGAAATGGGGCCTTGGAGTTATTCTGAAGCAGTATTAGCAGCTCTCATGGCTGTAGTTGAAAAGGTCCAATCAATAGAGGAGTTTGCTGCGTAAAAAGACAGATTTTGTCAATTAGAACATGTCTAAACTGCTGCTCGTGTCCGCTGACGCTCCTCCTCCGTGCTCACTATAGTTCATTACCCACAAGCCATTAGACACCATGTCATCCCCATCTGCGAGCATGCTTGGATAGCCCGACCAAAAAACCTGCAACAACCGATGGAGAGTTATTCCGTAGGTACGAGTCCCTGGGGAGACATTTGGAGAGGCCTCTGAGCTGGAACGCTGCAGCGCTCCTCTCATACATGTTGCACAGAGAAACAGCAGCGCTTCCCGCCGCACCACATGCAAGTCTGCTGTAAAGAAACAATTGACCACAGTCGGCAGCGTTCCAATACGTTCAGTGATCCACGCTCGTCGGGATGGAAAATATGCAAAGCAGGATTAATGTCAATCGGCCAACTCCAACATCAATTATTCAACTCGACTGCACTTGTGTGGGTCGCTTTTGTTTTTAGCACCTCTTTGTCAGAGGGGGGGGGGGTGTTTCTGCACAAATATCCATCACCATAGCACCTTGTTGAAGCTCAAGAGCATAAGGGAGAAGTGGTGGAAGGCAGAGAGCCTCCAGCGGTTGACATTTAGGTTCCTTAAACGCTACATTTAAATCTAGAATAAAACGTCTTTCGAAACCTGAACCGGTGAAACATTAACGATACACATGCACTCCACTTCTCCTCACGCCTCAGCCATCACCATCCTCATCCTCGCTGCGTTGTGTGGCTGCTGAGGCGCGTTTGAAGTCTGGTCACATGTTCGGAGATTGGAGAAAAAAACATGAATGATTTGCATCAAAGATAACTCCTCCGCAGGGGAAGTGAGGCCGGATGAAGCCGTGTATTCTCAGATGGATATAGGCAGCTTCACAATCGGATGCCTCGGGGCTCTATGAAAGATTTAGTAGCTCGGATATATTCTTTGTTTTTGTCGCTTACAACTTGGATTAATTGAGGACTTTTTTTTTTCTTTCAAAGCAAACAAAACAAAGTGTGTAATACTTGGATGTCTGAAAAGCATGTGCATATCATAATAGGTTTACTGAGGTGTCCAACAGTTTCTGTATGATCACTATTTCACATCCAGATATTAGACCCCCGGACCCTAAAAGCACCAGAATGTGTCATTTTTTGCAGATTGCTTTTTCTGACAAGATCAGTGAAGACGGCAGCAGGATGGGACATCAAAGCACGAGAGTGCAGAAAGAAAAGTAATCACAATAGTGCTGTTGTATTTCAGGAGGTTTTGTACTGATTGCTGCTCTGACCCTCTCCTGGATGACAGCTGCAGGGTGCACCGACACAAGCTGCTCATGTTTAGATCAGGAAGTGAATGTGGTGGAAATAGTCCAGTCACACTGATGCTCTGCTCACATTAGTATTCATTTATTTCTGGGATTTTATCAGATTTCTGTTGCACATGTTCTAACCTCAGCTGCTGCACCATGACTCTTATGCATCAGCACACTTCATTATTGAGACAAAATGTCAAGCCGAGATCATTAGACTGCCCTTTACAAACAGCTTTTGAGTAAAATAAATAAATAAAAGTGGGCCTTAATAAAAGGAAATAAGCTACTTATGTATAAATGATCTCACAGAAGGGAAGAAAACAATGATCTTACTCTGACTGTCGAATTTCCTGATGATGGTGTCCAGGAAGGTGTTCTGCGGAGCCACGTGGCCCCTCCGGACCGGCATCTTCGCTGCGGCTGTCCCCCCGGAGACTTTGAGAGACTTTGGAGGACTTTTAAAGGTATCTGCTCCGACGCTGTGTTCTCCGCTCCCCGCAGCACGAGCGCACGATGCTCACTGCGCTCCCCGCGTCGGGTGTTGGCGGTAATCCGGGGGCCAAAGTTTGCCCAAGTTGATCAGGAATACGGCGGCTTCTCGTGGATCGGCGGCAGAGACTGAGGAGAGTTCTGGAAACGAGGCGCGCTGTGTGCTGCGCGCGGCGGATCTGGGCCGTTTCCAGCTTCCACTTTCCAGGGTTTGAGGAGAGGAGCGAGGGTGTCCGTCCGTTTCTGTCCTCCCCCCTCCCTCCCGAGGGGTAGGGCCGCCTGTCAGGTGATGTTTCCTCCCGTAGTCTCACACTCGGCGGAGCACAGCGGACCTCTCATCCTGCACTACAGCCCGCTCCTGAGCAGCGGATCGGGCGAGGTTCCCGACGAGCGGCGTTGGAGCCATAGTTTGGGGAGGGGGGCGCAGGGCTTTTTTTTGGGGGGGGGGGGGGGGGGGGGGGATTTCTTCTCCCACCTCCTCTCTAAATACCTGCTTTAACTGGAGAGAGAAGGAACACAGTGCTGATCGGGGGAGCGCAGATAGTCCTAGATGTGCGGTTTTTGGGGAGGTGTTCTCTGAATCTCTTCCTCCTCCTCGCTGTGCGCTCTGACGGATGACTTCAGCTCCACCGGCGTCTCTAGCTGCGCCTCTTTTTAACCCTTTGCTGATCGGGAGCCGCTCACACTTCTTGTGAAGGCTGATGGAGTAGATGCGCCCTCGGCTCCCCAAATTCTGCTCCCCCGGAAAGCACAGTTACACTCTAACTTATTTCACCGTAAATTAACAGTAACTTACTGGCAGCAGCGACGCCAGTAAGTTACTGTTTTTTTACGATGCACTACCGTAATCTACTTTTACTGTATCATACCGTATACTGGATTACGGTACGTGATAGTAGGATAATTGGGTTTTATCGTGATTTTACGGTATATGCCAGAATGTTACCGTTTATTTAGAAAGGGTAATACAACCCACTACTTTTGCATTTAATTCCCAAAAAATGAAAGAATCACAATAGACATTCAATACATAATTGTTGCAGTTTATTACATGTTCTCAAATAATAAAGGGACATTTGTATTACATCACAAAACTCACAATGTACTGCATGTTTAGAACAAAACGAATAAACCAATAAAATCGTTAATGACCAGCTTAATTAAACTCATTAGCATCAACAGTGTAACACTGAATTAAAATAGTATCAAGAACAGTGTAATAGAACTGCTTCACAGTCTAGCCTGTTAACAAGTCTTATACACATTTATAGTTCATTTGAACTGCATGAACTCACATGAATGAAACAATAAGGAGAGAGAACACCTTAAAGAGGACGTGACTGCAGCGTCTGGCTGGTTCCTCAATCTGATGACGAGTGACTGTAAACAAACACAATAAAAACTTTAGAAACACAATGTTCTGGACTTCTGGAAAGTTCTATGACATCCAGGATAAACAAAAGAAGCTTTGGGTGTGCAGCTGTGGGTTTGCTGTGCCTCACACATGTTAACATATCACTGTAAGTCTTTGTAAAAAGCTAATACAACAATACCATAGAATTACACCTGAGGTTGGGGCCACGGGGACTCTTGGGTGCTACCAAACTGGCACCCAAAATGAATAATTAATGTTATTACAAATTATCAATTTGTGAAAAATAATTAGGAGAACTGACAATTGACAATGAAAATTGACGCCCAGCGACAGTGAAGGTTTCCGAGGAAAAGATGAACGTGCCTTGAACGTGTCACACCACGTGGTTTATCTCTCTCACAGACACACACACACACACACACACACACCTGCTCTGAGAGGCTACTGTTGACAACAGGTGTTCGGCTTTGGGGCGACCGGCTTCCTTTGTGGGAGGGACTCATTTGCGAGCGACACGCACACACACGCACACACACACGCACACACACACACACACACACATGGAGACTTATTGAGAAACCTGAGTATTAAACCTAAAGTTTGACGTCACATACACAGTTCATTTTCGTTCATGAGACCGGAAGCAAACACGGACCCTCACAAATTTCCTGACGGACAGAAATTCACCTCACTGGTGTAAAAATAACTTTTCACGCCCCGGTAAAAAACATGTCCCCTGCTCCGGAGTGAAGCGGACTCTTTAATGCGGCGGAGGAGACCGGCTGCTCCTGGATCAGTGTACATGTCACGTTAATGTGCCGAGGACCTGCTGCGGTTGTGATGCCGCTCCGCCCATGTTTCAGGGTTGAGATGGGGGATTGACCGCTCGGTGCCGCTCAGCCATACGTCACATGGCCGGGGTTCCCTACTTCCGTTAAGATGGGGGGAGGGGGAGGGGGATGCCTTTACTAACCCCTCGGATGTTGTGGTTTGGGCTGAAGCGCACTCTATAAAGACTGCGTTTTACGCGCTGTCATTACGCACCAAAGGACTGTAGCGTCGCACTGCAGATGGCTGAGAGTCTAAGCATGACATTTAAAACACAGTCTACCAAATCACATGACATTACACTTGATTGTACATTTAAATAAGTAACATCATCGTTATAAAGGCCTGTATGACATGTTTTCATTTCCCCTCACGATGTAGAGAAAACGAATCCTCCACTCACTGTGATGCCTTTTTAAGTTGTTTTTCATATTTTAGGACATTTGGAGTTGCTCCATTGTTGCATTTTAAATTTAGAGAGCAGAGACATTCCTGTCCCCATGTAATGATCAACATGTCTACTGCTACTCATATGTATAGTTTATTTATTATAACATTCAATGAATAATATAAACATACTGTCAGAAGTAAGTGAGGCAGTGCTGGTATAGTTTAACATTTGATTCATCAAATCAAGCAAACATAAATGAATCACAAAGTTTCTGTGATTTATATAAATATACGTGCTTCAGGCAGATGTTCTTTTTCCGACTGCAGTTGAACGCAGCAGAGTTTTCCCTTTTAAATCCATAAGAACTTGGGTGTTTTTGCAGATGTTTATCTGAGGGGTGTAATAAGCCTCGACTGAGTAACATTTCTTTGTTTTCAGTTCTGTCAGATACATAGCCCAAAGCAACGCGGCTGCTGGCGGTTTGCATTCATCAAAATGACCTGTACCTGACTGCATTCATGTTCCCAGCGATCACTGATTTAATGATGAACACACATGATGAATTGCAGCCTTGCAGCCGGACGAGGCCCGAGGAGCCATCGATCAAGAAGTGACATCTTGTTATAAATAAACAACAACAATGCATCAGATCCTGGTCTAGTTCCATCCAGCAGGTTTTACTACAGCAGCTGAGAGAGGGAGGAGGAGGCGCGCTGGTCAGGCCTCCTCTCTCAACTCCCTTATTTAGTCAGGAACAGAGAGGGGAGGATGGAGGAGACGAGGAGGGGAAGGAGGAACAGAAAGAGGCAGACAGGTCCTCGTCAGAGATGAGGCCGATTTCAGCCTGGTAAACTCCATTTGTTTTTACACAGACACACACACACACACACACACACACACACACACACACACATTACTCACACAGAGAAAGAGAGAGAGAGAGAGAGAGAGAGAGAGAGAGAGAGAGAGAGTTGGCTATAGTTGCTTTTAGAATAAACGTCTGAATAAAGGAAGTGAAAAAGCTCCACGCTTCACTCTGACACATCCAATAAAAGCTCCAGCTTCGTGTGATGAGTAAACAGCAGCACATTTAACTCAGAGGTATCACTTCATATAACAAGCATAGCGTTTCCACGGAAACACGAGTATAAATATTGGCAACTGTGTTTATTCTGCGCAAAAATAAACCACAGACACTGCCCACAGAATCATCTTTGGCAATAACAAAAATATTGCAGGATTTGTTTAAACGTGGTTTGTATTTGTTCCTGCTCAGAGCTTCAGGAGGTTTGGAAGTTGACTCTAAAGGAGGTTTGTGTAACGTTCAGACACGCTGTGGCTGCTTCTCTGCTGGATGATGGAAATGTATGTAACACACTTAACCGGATGAATATAGTATTATTCCCCACGTTTGTCTTTTGAAAGGTTATGTAATAATAATGTTTTTGTTTCACTTCTACCCTCCAGATGTTAATGCAAGAGAAGAAGTCCTAATGTGTACATTACATTAACTGCAATAACTGTGATAAACAAACACAGCTGGTGCATTGTACTGGATTGAAATATCATACACAAACTGAGTGATCATGAAGAAATCTGTCACCATTTATTTTTCATTTTGATAACACCTTTTTTGTCATTAAAGAATAACTGTGTGTAACATTAGAGAAGGCTGGGGGGAAGTGAGGGGAATGCTGCCACACTCTGCTGGTTACTGTGTATATTCAAAGATGCTCATGATGGAATAAAGATTCATAAAAAGACAGCCAACAATGTTCTCCAAGTGTAGAAACATGTTTATTGACCAGTTCTATATCTAACCAGTTTCATGGTGAACTCCCACTTAAAGAAGACTGCTGCCACATACACATCCTCTTAAAACATATACATATGAAACACATTTAAATGCATAATTAGTCTGAATCACAGGTCCTTTAATATTGCTATAAATATACAGTAGAAAAAGGCTGTACAGGTTGAAGAATAGACGATCAGGTTTCAGAACAGGAACATCCAGTCATATGATGACTAAGGACCACACAACCACCAGGTCTTCATTCCTCCTCTTGTCCATCCATCTCCAGCGCTCTCACTCCACTTGGCCTGGCGTTCATACCTGCTCTTGCTCACACATTCTCTCACACACACACACACACACACACACACACACACTCAGGTCACACACAACACACTCGCTCAGCGCCTGGACAGGTCACCTCCTGTGAAGAAGACAAACAATTGACAAATGTAATCCATGTCATCTTGTGGCTGTAATGAGTGTGTGTCAGTCAGAGAGAATCAGATGGGTAGTCCTGTAGTGGTGGTTACTATGTCCATATGTGTGTGTGTGCATGCGTGTGTGTGTGTGTGTGTGCTTGTTAATCAAAGATTGATCGCCAGAACGACCAAATCCGTCGGACGTGATGTCCTGGGAGGATGAATGGGAGCAGGGGGGATGTTCCGAGTCGTATGCGGCTACATCCAATTAACTAACGCAATCAGCCATGTTGATGAATGGATTAGCACATAATTGCTTCAGAGGTGGGATCCGTGATTGAATTATTCATGGTGGGCGATGGCGAACGTATGTTTGGCTCAGATTAGCTAAGTGTGTGTGTGGGTCAGCCATGGCGTTAATGGAAAGTGACTGAGAAACTGTATTGAGAGGGGAGGAGGCGGACATGACGGTTGAGTGTCACAGCCGCTCACCGGGCTGCCTTCCATGGGGCCGGACTTATCAGTGATGTCACTGCAGGTAAAACTGACCCAGCGTGTACTCAAAGCCTAGAGAACAATAAAGACAAGCTGTGCATGTCACACGGCTTGTCATACAAAAAAACAAAGCTGAAGAACCGAAAGTTGGCAAAAAATAAACAATGTTTCATAAGTTGTATACAAGCCTGAAGTGTGTACAAGAGTGTCGTGAGCAATTTTTTTTTTTACATGTATTCAAAGTGTGGGTTCTGACGCTGACGTGAGGGATGAACCCTCCCCCCCCCCCCCCACCTTGGCAGCTGGTGCACTCGCAGCTGTGGATGACAGGCAGGACGACCGGCTCGCTCTCCCCGCTCTCACACTGCAGGCTGAGGAAACGCACCGGGTTGTCAGGGTCCAAGCGGTAACTGCAGCACTCACACACTGACTGCAGGTAGGGCTCCTGTGTGGGGGGGGTGAGAGCAGAGCCAGAGGGATAAGTTTGAAGGGGCCAATTAGGAGATCAGAATATGAGGAGGGGAAGGTGGGATGAGAGGAGAAGGTTATTAGAGATATTGAGCAGAAAATAATATTAAAGGGTAGAGGTGAAGGAGATGAAATAGTGTTGTCAGAATTGATAGAGGAGGAGAGAAAGATATTCTGTATATTGACGAATGTGTAACGTGACTGGGGCCGCGGGGCTTTTTTTTTGCCTCTTTTAGTTAATTGGGTTCATAAACTGGGCTCTCATGAATCTCTTTACAGCCGGCTGTCTGAAGCCAATGAGCTTTCTATGAGCCCAGCGTACACCGCCCATCACCAAACAGCAGACAGACGCAGTGAGTTGCTGCTAAACATAGTGGAGCAACTATAGCAGCTGAAGTTCCAGATGTTGTTATGAGGAGCGTGACTCCATATGAGGCTCTGTTTCTCTGCTCGCCATGAAGAGGCCTAGTTCTTCAGGTCGCTGGGACGTTCTTTCTCCCTCACTGTAGGTGGCATAAAATGATACATCCGATCATTTAAAGCGGTGTTCGTAGACTTTATGTTGGAAGAAGCTGTAAACAGCCCTGGCAGGTTAGATCAAGTTGTTATGACTAAAGTGTTAGCGAAGGGTTGCTCCTGTACACATCCTGCGGACACAGAGCAACATTACACTGGGTTTATCAGCGTTCCTACTAAAAACAGCTGCTGAGAGCAGTGAGAGCCAACCAGACGGCTAAAGCTGAAGGCTGTGAAATTCAAACAACGAGCTCAAAGACGCTTTCAACGCTTCACACGGCTGTGGGGAACTGCAGAGTCTGTGGCTCCATTTTCAAATATAAAGCTATTGATTAGTAAAGCCGGACAGTCTTCGTCTTCACTGCAAACTAAGTTCTTTTGGTGATCTTACAGGATAAACATGTTTTACTAATCACACAGCTAACACACAACACAAGCACAACATTGGGAACCAGGAGATAATTTGGCTTCTCTCTATCTCTTTAAATACAAAAACCCAGCCTCTGTGTTTTG